AGATAGTAGAAGCATCTATGACAGGTCAAGTGTAATTCCCCTTTTAATAAAACACAATAGGCAGTTGAATGCAGAAGGCGACTAATCAGTCAATTTTTGTTTTATATTACTATTATTTCACATTGAGTTGTTGGTGTGTGGCAGACATGTGCCCGATGGAAATTTTCATTTCATTTAATTTTGGCTGCATTCATTCATTGAAGAATTTTGTTTCCTCATATTCGTTATGTTGAACCAATTCATTTTCGGGATCAGTTTCGTATCTTTGGCATCTGTTTCATATATCCGGTGATAGTGGTGGATTCGAAAGATTTAGCAATTTTTCAGGAAGATTGCAATATATTTGATATATAGTCAAATAGGACGGATTGGAATAAAAGGATTATAATAATTTCAGACATTAGTCCAGCCCATCAAGAAAGATGACATGAACTGATTGGACAATATCGACTGGAGTCATGCGCATCCGAATTAACAAATTAAATTAAATTCAGATCAATACGTTATCTGAATTATCAAACAAATTCAAAATTGAATTCATTTCTCCATGGACCCGAAACTACTATCGCATCATGTGACGTCATCCAAATGAAACAAATGCATTCGTAATTTTGTTATAACGTTTTTTTTTTCTGATTCGTTGATGTTGGTTACTATGTCCATTCAGAGATCCATATGCATCAGAATAAAAATAAGAAAAAGAATCGTAATGAAATGAAACGCACATGTCTAGTAAGTGGTCTCTTCTCACATTAGGACAGCATACTTCCTGGATACGTATCACAGTCACCAGCACCTTCTTAAGTAGTGGATCACTGTAGTGGCAATATTCAGCATTTAATTGCCTACAGGGCACTTATACCCCCTTCCTGCCCAGGCCAATTTTCAGGTTTCAGTACTGTTGCACTTTGAATGACAATTGCGCAGTCATGCAACACTGTACCCATATGAAATGTTTCCATTTTTTTAGACAGATAGAGCTTTCTTTTTGGTGGTATTTAATCGCCTCTGGGTTTTTATTTTTTGCTAAACAAACCAAAAACATAAATATATATGTTGTTTCTGTTATAAAATTTTGTAAATAAGTGATTTTTCTCCTTCACTGATCTGCGCTAATGAGGCTGCAGTGATGGGTACTGACAGGCTGCACTGATGGGCATTGATGAGGAGGCACTGGTAGGTGGCATTGACAGGCATAACTGATGGACACTGAAAGGCAGCACTCATATATGGCACTGATAGGTGGCACTGATAGTTGGCACTAATAGGCGGCACTGACGGGCACTAATAGGCGGCACTGGCTGGCGGCACTGATAGGCAGCACTGACTGGCACTGATAGGTGGCACTGACTGGCCCTAATAGGTGGCACTGAAAGGCAGCTCAGATGGGCACTGATATATGGCATTGATCTGCACTGGTAGGCACTGATATGTAGCATTGATGGGCACTGACAGGTAGCATTGATGGACACTGACCGGTGGCACTGTTTGGGCTACACTGATCATCAGGGCACACTGATCATCAGTGCCCTGATGATCAGTGTACATGTCCCTTCTGAGTAATGCCGATTACTGTCTTTTTCTCTCCTCACGAGCTGTCAGCGTGACAGCTTGTGGGGAGAGGAATGCCGATAACCGGCATTTCCTTATTTACATGTGATCAGCTGTGATTAGACACAGCTGATCACATGACAGAGCTGATGTTTTCGGCTCTTTCCATTGATAGGTGATCTGCTGTGTCCCAGGGACACAACGCACCACCGATTGCCACGCTGCGCTCCCTCAGGGGCGCTCACGCGCGGATAGAGTGGGAGGGCATCATATGATGTCCTCCCAGAACAAGAGACCCGCCTTGAGACCCATCATTACCTTATATGGTGGGCAGGAGGCAGTTAAAGTGGTGCTCCCAGCTATACCAAGTTGATTTTTTGTTATATGTTTGCGTTTTTTAATTGCATTGGTATTCACATCTGTTTACCAGGGGATTAATTCTTTCTGGATTGCTCAGATCCCTCAGCCACAGGTGTCTCTTTAAAAAGAACTTAATGCCGCTGTTGTTTACACTTTATTTATCTGATATAAAATATTCGATGGAGTTGATTGTCTATTGGGGTAGAAAATGATCACCTTGCAAAGTAACAGTTTTGTGAATAATATGAAATTGTGTTCACTTCATACATACATTTATTCATTCATTCATTCATATATATAATGTTTAAGCAAATTGATTTAGGCTGCTTTACTAAAGGCAGCTGGGATTCTTTACTTTCAAAAATGTGTGAATATTTACTTCAATTACCCAGTCTTTTGAAAAGTATCACTTATTTGGGTATTCAAAGTGATCAGAATTTATTTTTCACATTATTGGATAATTGAAGCAAATATTCAGACTTTTTTTTTTTAATAAGATTCTAAACTCTTTTAGCAGACAAGTCTCATAATTGGAAGAATGTGATCATTTCCTGTTAATAAGTTTGCCAATTCTCCAGAATATGTGCATTCATCCTGTCCAATACCAATGATACAAGTTATTATTTTCTGTTGCCTGATTACACAAGCTATGTAAACTTTGCAGATCAAGCAAATCTGCATATGTTCGGAAGAATTAGATAAATAGCTGAAAAAAATATAAAGCAAAGGGGGAAATCTACATTTACCATAACAAGTGTAAATTAGAAACCCTCAGGGAGCAGTTTATCATAGGACAGATCAGATGTTGCAGAGCCAGCGTGACCTACGGATCTGTAATACACTGATCACAATCTTGTTTGTTTGTCTGCATCTTTCTAAACCTCTAGAATATAACACCGGTAAATTTAGCTTTGGCTAAAACCTTTTGTTTAATTATTTAATTTACAGTATAGAGACACAGATTTTTCTACAGTGAGGATACAGTAAAATAAAATATTGTTTGTTAATTAAAATAAATCTGATTTTTAAAAATACATTTTGATATATAAGCTTGATGTCACAGATATTGTTGTTTTATACCTTTTTGAGCTGCTTTAGTCATAAATAAATCATCTTTTGTTAAAGTTGCATTCCAATATGTTCACTTTTACATCTTGGACCAAGCAGAGTATGTATGTGCCCCACATGTGGTATCTGTAGTGTGTGGAATCTGTAGTAGGCACTGCTACAACAGTGATCTCCACTAGCTTCTTGGTCCCATACTGAGCAGCTGCCCTGAGGAAGGCCACTCGCTTGGCATGAGCACCATTCAGAGCACACTTTGCCTTTTTTTCATAGAATGCAAAGAGTACACTTATTGGATGAGGTGGAGAGGTAGTGTAGTGATGTCAAAATCTCCACCTTGTCTGGTCAGAGAACACTTTGCACTCTTTGAGAAAATGCAAAGTATTCTCTGAATAGTTCCCATAATAAAAAGGCAATCTCTTGTGTTCACAATACAACAGGGCAGCCACTTGGCACAAGACTCGGAAGCCAGTAATCACTGTACAGTAGTAGCGGTGGCTGCTACAGTGATATTCAGCTTCCACAAGCATAGCACATAAATACTCAAATTGGTTCAAGCTGAAGTAATGCAACTATGTAAAGATTACTGTACCTAAACTTTAGCTTTAATGATCCTACAGAAGTTATCTGCCTCAAAACAATGATCATTTTTAGCCAAGTCTCCTGAATTTCTAATTAATCTCTCCAATGTATGTTAGGTGTATGTGTGAGGCACAATGTTTGAAATGGCTTTTTTAACCACTGCTAGCAAATTCAGAATATATTCATGCACAGGCAGATGAGATCACATGGTAGTTCCCCTATCCCACCTGCATCTACAATGATAAATATAGGCCTTCTATGTAGGTTAGCATTATGTGGAGAACAAGAAGTGCTTTCGTATCAAAAATATGTGCAAATATTGATTGATTATTGATTGTATCCTTTACAATAGTTGGCAAAAACCTTTTTTTTAGTTTGGGATAGAGTTGGAAGGGTTAGACCTCTAAATACCCATTGTCCCATTGAAGGGCAGGGATTTTCTTCAATGGAAAACAGGCAACAACAGGCAATCTTTAAGTTTATGACTGCATTATAGAAGACTTGCACATTATTTTATTAAGGCAATAATGGTTTAACATGCCCTTTACTTACAGATCTGTGTGTATTGCATATTTTAAAGGGTAAGTATATGTTCAGAGATTGAACACTTACTCTTTCTGCTTAAAACTCCTCATCTACCTAAAGAAACCCCAACCTCCCACTAATTCAAGAGACAGTCCCATAGTAGCATATGAGGAACTAGTATACAGGGGCAGCCAACAGCAGAAACCTTGGACTACAGGATGTAAACAGTGGTCAAGATTCAGGTAGATATGCAGCCAGGGCAGAATGTGTGGATTATTTTATGTTAAGGGGTAGGCAGGCAGGTAGGGTAAGTGAATTTTTTTCTGAAAGTAAACCTACCCTCTACACCCCAACATTTTTAGTAACTAATTCTCTGTCTACATATTTATGCATAAATACATTTATTTATTTTAGAAGTAGTTAGTATTTAGGTACTTTATTAATGTATGCATCCTTTTGTTTATACCATAAGGAGCACCACTGAAATACCCCGTAACTTTTGTACATTTGTTTTGTAAACATTCCTTTCTAAATATATATTTTATTATATTTTATTTTGCATTATATTATATCTTAATATATTATTATAATACAGTATATACTGTATATATTTACAAATATCCAACAATATTCATTTTACATGTGTCTTATATTTTACATGCGACTTACTATCTGCTAAAACTCCAAATTGTTAACGTGTTTTGAGAAAGACCCTCAGAACCATTTAGATTGAACTCTAGGGTACGCATCCTTTTATGAGAATCTGTATTTTTAACGTTTATTTTTATCATGTCAGGAATATAACGAACACTAGAGCTAACACAAGAGCCGAGGCAAATGTAAAAAAAAACTATGACTACAAAACTATAAAAACCAGAAGCGTCCGCTATTAATCTTGCTCTTTTGCTTTTGTTTCTGCAGCCCCGTCTCCAGTCACTCATGTGAAGAAAGGAAAAATCGCCAAAAATAGCATTTCCTTGTCTTGGCAAGAACCAGAGCGACCCAACGGTATCATCCTGGAATATGAGATCAAATACTTTGAAAAGGTCTGACCTTTTGTAATGTACAGTTATATCTTTGTATTTTTTTCTTTTGCTAGCTAATCCTGGTTAGGGAGCCATCAGCTACATGGGGAAATTGATTACTAATTGATTGCGTCTGCAATAAATGACCAGGGTGACTTCCAGTGTGTGTTTTTCATTAGTGTGGCATGTCAGCTGAGGGAAATACATTAAAAGTTCAGCTTGGAGTTATTGGCAGACTTTGCTGATCTGAATAAAGGTCACTAAAATAAAAGAAGGCCAAACATTATATATGGCTAATAATTATGAGTCTGTTTTGACAATATTTTTATGTATTTAAGGGTGGGAAATCAGTTTGCATGTAAATAATTTGTTTAAAATACTGGCTGTAAATAACTGATCATTTTGATAATGTTAGGAATAAAAGCCAAGTTATGAAAGCATTGCTGAAATATTAACCTCTCTCAGTGGATCGTGTGTCATTTCTCTCTCCGAAGCCCCGCACAGTACCAGTGGCAAAAGCAATTATGTGATGTGATAAGAAAGATCCTTACTAAAAATGAAACAGTATCAGCTAATGTGTTGGAAGTGAGGACAGGAAAACAGATCGGAATCTAGCTTTATTATTTAGGCAGTTACAAGAATACAAGTTGAAAAACAACTTGAAGGTCATTATACTGTAATTGTGCTTGTGTCTTAGCATTTCCTGTAACCCAAAGCCAGCAGTTAAAGGAAACCTTTACTAATGCCTGCCAGTTCTGATCTCTTCTGCACCAATAAGTTACTTGGCTGTCATGCTGTTCAACTTGCTTTTGTACCTTTTACATCCCTGAGTTAAAAAAATATATGCAGATTGTGGGTTCTGGCATACATCCCAATTTCAGTTTTTGCAAATAAATAGCCCATTAGTAGTTACAATTAAAAAGCAGCACTCACTTTCTTTCCAGGGATGTCCCTCATTGGCACTCTGCTCTATCATACTACTGTTACTTTTCACAGTTTTCTCATTCAACCCAGTTCATGGATACAGCCCATGTGGGTGCATCACCACATTGCCCAGGGCTTACATAACATAACAGTGCTCACATGCCCTTACCTGAGTGTTATACTAAGCAGGAGTATGGACCATCCGCCGAAATTGTGAAGAACGGGAGGTGGAGGACCCCTCTCATCACATTAGTTTTGCTTTAATATGACAAAAACAATATAAATGGGAAAAACATCTCATGCAGGACATTACCTAACCCCTTGTCTACAATGTATGTTTATAAACATCCTAGTAGCCAGGACGTTAAAGCAAGCTTGGTATTGATTTTTTAACTGATTCTTGGCTGTCATGCAAAAAAGATCTGGAGTTTCCCACCGGGGAGCCTGGGGACTTGGTAAATGGCTTCAGGTTGCCAAATGGAAGGAAAACGTGATGAATGAATCCAGAAGCAACAAGCATTTCATCATTTCTGATTTACAGCTGTCATTCCCTAGCTACTTTAGTAAGGGAAGCAGATAGTCAAGCAAAATCTGTGCTTGATTAGCTGCAGTGGAAGTCAGCAAAGACATTGAGGGGTTTATTTACTAAAGCTGGAGAGTCCAAACCCCCCCCCCCCCCCCCCCCCCCCCCCCCCCCCCCCCCCCCCCCCCCCCCCCCCCCCCCCCCCCCCCCCCCCCCCCCCCCCCCCCCCCCCCCCCATCAGACTCCCTTCTGCATAGAAACCAATCAGCTTCCAGGTTTCATTGCCAAAGCTTCATTGAACAAGCTGAGGTTAGAAGCTGATTGGTTTCTAAGCAGAAGGGAGTCTGATTTTGGACTCTCCAGCTTTAGTAAATAAACCCCTGAGGTCTTCTCAAAGAAAACCTGTTATCTACCAAATACTATCTCATAGGGGCTTGTTAGCCCCCTTGTGACTGAGATGAAGTAAAATAAAAAAATGTGTGTGTATATATATATATATATATATATATATATATATATATAATTAATTAAATAAAAATAATTTCAAACAAAATAAAAGCACCCCTTTCACCCCATGTACACACCTAAATGCAAATGCTTATGCAGCACATGCATGTGTATGTATATGGCGATTGTGCCACACATAAGGTATTGCTGTGAACTTGGAACAGTTATTCTAAGATCATAATGCATGGCTGACTCTAAGTTAATACTCTGTAAAGACTTTTAAAGCTTGACATTTTGGGTATCTATTTACTCAACACAACACCATTTTTTTTTATTTTACCAAACGTTTAGGAAATATATTGTGTTTGAGTTCACTAAAACTCATTTTATTAGAACCAGAGCTTTTTAAAGCAGGTTTCCTTTACACCTATACTCATTGTAAACCCAGCATCTAAAGTTAAAGGTCAAAAAATGTTTGATCATAGTTCTTACATATTCTACATGAACTGTTTCTTGCCCCATTTGTCCAAAGAGAGATTTTCCGGAATGCTTCCTTTAACCAACTGATTAAGCATCCATAAAATTTGAATATATCATGTAATATAATCCTCTACCCTTTTTTCCACTTGGATACATCTATATTCTTGTTGTGGTTCAGTGATTCTGCAAGACACTTGATCAATATGACGCCAAGGCATAGCATTTCTAAAGACATTAGAGTCTCCTGATTACAGTACAGGATCCATTTAAACAGACATCCCTAATCCTGTTCAACTTGTAAACTATATTTAAATATAAGAAAGGGCAAAGATCTACAATGTGGGCACATGAGAGCTGTTCATGCCAGTCATTTTTTGCTGAGAATTGCAGCTTGTAGTGTATGCACTGATCCGATAATTGCTGCATCATCTCCATGTGGCACTGAAAATGCTCTGATCCTGTCAGAAACAAATTATTTTTTTTTTTTTGCACGATTCTCTTGTTGACAAGATCAGAGACATGAAACTGTTTTTGTATGACCTAAGTGAAAGGACAACATCACTTGTGCTTATACTGTCATGTCAACATTAGCTCTTTTTTTCTAAAAGTGTCCTTGCAATTCAGGGTAACATGAGACCTTTTCATAACCACATTTTACCTGAAAAACACTGGCAGTGTCAATAATAGAATGATTGACAGGAAAAGCTCTTATGTAAACTAGACAAGCGTGAGATCCACCAGCTCTGTCATCACATAAACCTATTGATAGATGTTTTTTTTCAAAGCAGAATCTCAGTAGAGTCTGATGGGGCACATGTCAGCATTACCGTATCACACAATTGCTATGAGGGAAGAATAACATAATTAGAAAAAGCTGCTTCTTCCCATCACCCAGTCTTGGCAGCCTAGGTCATGTGGTCATGAGTTTGGCATTATTATTATACATTATTTATAAAGCGCCAATAGTTCGCTCAGCGCTGTACATTACAAAGGGGGACAGAACATGTGACAGAACAATACCAATACAATGCAAAACATGAGGGGATTGAGGGCCCTGCTCTTTCGAGCTTACAATCTAGGAGGCGTGAAGACCTCTGGCTACCAGTGATAGAAGAGGAATAGCAAGGCATAAAGGGAGAAAATATGACAAACCCCATGTGCAAATGTAATTACACAGTCAATAGAAACATGATGGTTTTAAAATATTCAACCATTTGGATAAGATTTTTTTTATGTTAAGTTGATTTTCCTTACTTGTATAGCTTATATTGTATTATAAAAAAATATTATATGTATATGTTATAAATATATTATATTATATTATAAACATTAAAGAAGTTATCCGTTAAATGAAAAATGAATAGTGTTTCTGAGCATTTAAGGCATAGAAGCCTTAAATGTAATAATTTTACCACCACAAATTTGCACACTGCATACAGTATTTCAAATTACTCTAATTTACTTATGCAGTGGTAGAAGTATTGCCCCATGTTTTGAATTCTAATTAAAAGAATTGCTAAATCTAAAATGAAAGCTGATCCAATAGAGAGCACATGGTTTTACAATTAGCAGATTGCATACTGCAATTATTTTTATTCTGCTTAAGTAACTATTTGTTGTTTAGAAAATAGATATATGAGCCAAGCTGGCTTAATTAGCTCTAACCAGAATGACACAGATCACAGAAAAATACTGTTGCATAACAGTCATTGTAGTCTGTACAGATCCTGAGTACTAGATAATATACAAATATACATGGACCTAACTACTGTATATATATATATATATATTGTATGTATAGTTAGGTCCATGTATATTTGGACACAAGCACAATTTTCATGCTTTTGGTTCTGTATGCCACCAGAATAAATTAAAAGAAAACAATCCAAATGAATTTGAAGCACAGACTTTCAGCTTTAATTCAAGGGGTTGAACATAAATATCAAGTACAAATTTTAGGAACTGCAACCATGTTTATACACTGTCTCTCCATTTTCAGTGGCTCAAATGTAATTGGACAAATGAATATAATCGTAAATAAAATGTTCATTTTTAATATTTTTTTGAGAATCCTTTGCTGGCAATGACTGCCTGAAGTCTGGAACCCATGGACATTATCAAAGACTGGGTTTCTGCCCTTCTGATGCTTTGCCAGGCTCTAACTGCAGCTATCTTCAGTTGTTCTTTATTTGTGGGTCTTCATTTGTTCTTTGTTTAGTTTTGCCTTCAGCAAGTGAAATGCATGCTCAGTTGGGTTGAGATCAGGTGATTGACTTGGCCATTGCAGAATATTCCACATCTTTTGCTTAAAAAGCTCCTGGGTTGCTTTTGCAGTGTGTTTTGGATCATTGTCCATCTGTACTGTGAAGCACCATCCAATCAACTTTTCTGCATTTGGCTGAATCTGGGCTGACAGTATATCTCTAAACACTGCAGAATTCATCCAGCTGCTTCTGTCTTCTATCACATCATCAATAAACACCAATGACCCAGTGCTACTGGAAGCCATGCATGCCCATGCCATCACACTGCCTCCACCACGTTTTATAGATGACATTGTGTGCTTTTGATAGTGAGCTGTTCCTTCTCCACACTTCTTTCTTCCCGTCATTCTGGTACAGATTAATCTTAGTTTCATCCGTCCAAA